TGAAGAGAGAGAATATCCAAAAAGAGAAGGAAATTAACATTGTCAGATCTTGCAGAGAAGATTCAAAAAGGGTCATTAGCCCCAGAAAGTCAAAGTTCAAAGATGTAATCAAATGAAGAAACTCTGAGATGGTGTCAGCTTGAGTCTCCTTTTTCATAAGCAGTGCGTGGACCACATGTATAAAACGCAACTTGGATGTAAGGCAAATTTGCATAGGTTCGGATGGTTTAGAAAATGTATATAATATAATTGTCAAATACCCATAGATTCAAATGGTTTAGAAAAGATATACAAACACCTGGCAAACTTTAACAGTTATTTTTAATATTACTATTTTAAATTATTCAGAGAGATCCTACTCAGCATGCTGGTGGCCTCCTTCCTATTCATTTTGTATCTTGAGGTTATCAGTGTGCCTCTGGGGTTGTCTTTCTATCATCTTTCATTTTCCATAGGCAACTGCCCCCCTTTCTTTTCTGATCACTCCTATGCTCAATAATATCTTTTATACCATTTCTGGAATGCAAGGTGTTGTTGGTAACACATGTTTATACATACTATTTGGCCTTTCATTGTCCATTGTGCATTTCATTTTTTAAGCTATTATGTGCAAGACTCTATACTTAGGGCTAGGGATCCAAAAAGAAAAGAGGAATAATCCATGATCTCAAGGAGTTTACATTTTATCCAATTTAAAATGGCATTCGAATTGAGCTAAATTTGAAATTTAATTATTCTGAGATCATTATGCCATATAATTGACAGCTGTTTATCATCACCAAGAGAAAACACTTACAAAGAGAAGTTTTGGGTTCTTTTTGGACAGATGGCAATTTGGAAACACAGAAGACTTTTCCAGTTACTCTTCTTCCTAGTCTTCTCTCTAAGATTACCTTCAATCTATTCTGTACATATCTTGTATGTATTTATTTCTTGACAGATTGTCTCCTTCATGAGAATAAAAGCACTTTCAAAGCAGTAACTCTTTCGCCTTTATTTGTGCCTCTAGTACTTAGCCTGTGCTTAATACACAGTAGATGTTATTCAGCCGTGTCTGACTCTTTGTGACCCCATTTGAGGTTTTCTTGGCAAAGATACTGGAATGGTTTTCCATCTCCTTCTCCAGCTCATTTTACAGATGAGAAAACTGAGGCAAACAGTTAAGTAACTTGCCCAGGGTCACACAGCTAGTAAGTGTCTGAGACCAGGTTTGAGCTCGTGAAAATGTCTTCCCAATTCTAAGCACAATGCTCTATTCACTGAGTCACCTAGCTACCCTGATACATAGCAAGTACTTGATTAATTCTTGTCAGCTGTTTGACCATGCCTGGTAGATAGTAGGCATTTAATGATGCTCATAGAATGATTATACAATAACCCAAATGCAACGTGACTCTATTTCTTTCTCAGGACCCAGCTCATTACAAATAAAAATATCATTTAAAAAAATAATTAAAAAGGAACCCCCTCATAAGAAGTGTTCTTAATTGGTGTTATTTTTGACATAACACTAATTTACATGATTCTTTTTTAATATGCACATGTAAATTATCAATTTGTGCTGGAAATAAGGTTACTAATTTTAATATAATTGCAGACCGATTCACAAGTTACTAACAGATTATTTTAGACTGCATTTTAAGAATATAAGAATTAGATCTGGAGTCTAAAAATCTGTGTTCTAATCCCAGCTGTGCTACCAGCTACATCTGTGTCCATGGGCAAGCTAGGCCTCTAGGCCTCATCTGTCAAATGAAGACATTGGGTAAAATATTCTCTAAGGTCCCTTCCAGCTGTAGCATTCAATGACAGCTCTCCAATTTAAAACCCCTTACAGCATGTTCTCTCTGGAACTCCATTTGCATTAAATTTGCACAGTTCAATTTTGAATGTGTTGCATGAATGCCATTTCCCTGTTTCATTCTTAATGCAGCTCAGAGGTTGTGGGACTAAAGATGTCTTCTAAGCAAATTACTGATATTTTTTTTATTGCCCTCCAATTTTGTAATTGCTAACATCTTCACAGCTGTTCATCAGCTACCTTGTAAATAATCTAGTATGTGTGAGGGAGCTTTTCAGAGAAAACAGGGAAAGCATTTTAAATAATGAGTGCCCATTGTAAAAATTAATGTTTTATGGCCCATTTGCAATAAATCATTGATAACATCAGGACTATCCTATATCCCCATCTCCTAAAGATAGTCCTGAGGTTAGCAAGCAAACAACTCTTTTCCTCATTTGTCACAAATTGTCCCTAGAACTGTCTTTTTTTTTAGTTGCATTAAGGAACTAGCTTGACATAGCATGTGTGGTACTCCTGCATGCCATCAGACCGCACGGGTTTCCAGAAGCAGAGATTTTGAGGGCCTTTCAGGTCTTTAACTGTCTTGATTGTAGCACAAATACTGTACATATTTTCTTTGCTAAATTAGACTCTGATGAGTGAACATGTGTCTAATGGCTTCTCAACAATGAAGCAACCAGGTTTGCGTTTTTTGAATTGTTCTCTATTTACAGGAAGTGGTTCACCATAATAAAGTTTCAGAGTTTGGCCACGTTTCTATTTACTTAAGGCATCTTTGCTTCTGCTCTTCAGAAGGCATTTATTTGCCTATTATGGCCACAGGAATGGAATGTACTTTGTTTTGTTGTAAGTACGTAGATACCACTGGGCTAGGCAATATAGATATGTGGAGTCTTACGTCAGCAAAGGCATGGTAGGTATATGAACATCATACAGAAGTGTGGGTTGGCATGAGAGTAACCATGTGAATAGCTGAGGCAGAATGGTATATTGGATCAAGCACTGGACTTGGACTCTTGAACTCTTGCTCAAACTGACTGCAGTCTCTGGGCTAAGCATTGACCTTCTCTAGGTTTTAGTATTCTCAGCCGCAAAATGAGGAGATTGGATTCAGTCACTTCCAAGATCCTTTCCAATACGAAATAATCCTATGAGTATGCCAGACTTAGCCTCTCTGGGGATGATGATGATTACTCCATACAAGACCAAGAACACCTCATTGCATTTAGAATATAGCTAGGGAGAACAGAAGAAACAGTCTATCCAGTAGTTCCAAAGATGCTGTCCATAGGTTATGCTAGAACCAGCTCACACCAGCTCTAATGAGCTGATGGCTAAATGTTCAGTGTGAGCATTTACACCTAAGAAATAGGTCAAAGCTACCAAGCAGGGCGATGCTACCAATGGAGCAGCTAGATAGTGTGGTGGATAGAGTGCCGAGACTGGAGTCAGGAAGGCTCATCTCCTTGAGTTCCAATCTGGCCCGGACACTTACTAGCTGTGTGACTGCGGGCGAGCCATTTCACTGTGTTTGCCTCGTTCCCCTCATCTATGAAATGAGCTAGAGAAGGAAATGACAAACCAGTCCAGTATCTTTGCTAAGAAAACCCCAAATGGGGGCACAAAGAGTCCGACAGGACTGAAAAACTACTGACCAAACAATGGGCTTGATTTGTTGTTTTGCTCATTGTCTATGCTTTTTTAAGTGATGGAGAAAAATTAACAATGCGGATTAAACTTAGGAGTGTGTCAAGTGCACATGGCTTTTTAGAGAGAAGGTTGTTAAACACTCACCAACACACTTCAGGCCATAACCCTAATATTTGGGAATGTAAAGCTCAGGGTATGGGCATCTAGGAAAAGTGCATAATTACAGAATCTCAGAGTTGAGAAAAAGCTCAGACACCAACCTATACATGACAAAGAATCCTCTTTACAGCATACCCCCCAGCAGTTATACAGCCTTCTCTGGAGACCTCCAGTAATGGAAAATCAACATCCTCCTGAGGTAGAGCATGCTACCTTTTTTTTTTTTTGAGGCAATCAGGTTAAGTGACTTACCCAGGGTCACAAAGTTAGTAAATGTACAAGACTAGATTTGAATTCGGGTCCTCCTGACTCCAGGGCTGGTGCTCTATCCACCATGCCACCTAACTGCCCTATTCTACTTTTAAATGTGTGTAATGACAATATCCCTCTATTTTCCTTTCACAGATCTGAAATCTTCTTCTAACTTCAACGCATCACTCCTTCTCGTGCCTCCTGGAAACAAGCAGCACCAGACTAGTTAGTCCTCAGTGCTCCCTGAGTGTCTCCTTTAAAACCACCAATCCATGTCTCTCAGACAAGGTCCTCCATCTAGGCCCTTGCACTGGCTATCCCCCATGCCTGGAACATCCTCCCTCCTCATCTCTGCCTCCTGTCTCATTCAGGTTCCAGGTAAAAGCCCACCTGCTACAGGAAGCCTTTCCTAATCCACCTTAATTCTAGTCCCTGCCCTTGATTGATTATTTCCTATTTACCCTGCAGTATACCTTGTTTCCCCATTCAACCGTGAGCTTCTTGAGAGCAGGGACTGTCATTTGCCTTTCTTTGTATTCCCAGAGGTTAACATGGTCTGCTCTTCAGAAAGGATTTATTTGCCTCTAGTAGCCACAGGGCCTGGTTCATAGGAGGTGCTCAAAAATGCTAGTTGAATGGATGACTAGTCATCGTCCAGTAGCTGTAGTTCTAGTATCTGTCTAGTTCAATTGCGTCCAACTATTCATGACTCTATGGACCACAGCATACCAGCACCATCCGTGGGGTTTTCCTTTCAAACAAACTAGAGTAATTTACCATTTCCTTCTCCAGGGGATTAAGGCAAACACAGACTAAGTGACTCACCCAGGGTTACACAGCTAGTAAGTGTTTAAGGCTGGATTTGAACTCAGGTCTTCCTGATTCCAGGTCCAATGCTCTATCTACTGAGCCACCTAAAGTGATGAAATTCAATTATTCTTAACATTTGCATCACTAATTGTTCCAGTGTAGAATGGGTGTGATAATATTTAGCTTGTCACACAGAGGCTTAAGAGAAGTTTGCTAGTTACTTGGAGATTCTTAGGTGCTCCACACTGCCAAGAATTCTTTTCATATGATCAATCAATTAATCAATCAACTTTTATTAAGCACTTACTGTGTACCAGGCACTGACCTCATTGACAAAACTGTTTCATGCTCTCAGTAGCAATGAAACTTCTGCAGGTGCTTTGTAGTTGCGCATAAATAAAGGAGGAGGAAGATACAACTCTATGTTAGTTCATCTGGAAAAAAAAAGAAAGAAAAGCTGGGGATTTAGTAGTCTCTAAGCTAAATATGAATCGAAGGGGAGTATGGCAGCTTAAAAAGGTATCACAAACTTTGGTTCTCTGGTGAGCTGTGATTACATTGGCTTGAATAATCCTTTCCCAAATGCAGATTGCTACTCCATCGTGCCTTCTCACCCTGTGCAATTTTTATCCAAATTTCTTTTAGGATGTCAATAGGGAATATGCCCAATATGTTTAAAGGCCTTCTTCTTGATATTTTAATATCTCAGGAGTACCAATTACACTCTGGGCCCTCTGTTATATTTGCTTTGCTGGTTTCTTTCTCTGGTCATTTAGATCTTCGGTTTTATCCCTATACCAATGAAATCCCAGGTCCATTTCCTATATTATTTCTCATGCATAAGTTGTCATGTAAATATCCAGCACAATGCAAATATTCACCATTTATCATGCCATCAGCCTTTGAGTTATTTGCAATTTTAACTTTTCTCAGATCAGAATAAATGGTTGCTGAATTTGAGTTTAAATGAATCCATTGGGCAGGAAGTTGGACCAGAATACTTCTATGGTAAGGGAGAGAATTTTAAGACTCTACCATGGAGTGGTGGAAAGATGTGGATATTTACTAGTAATCTTAGAATCTCTCTTTGCATTAGGTGGTTTATTTTCAATTTTTGATGGGCTTTCCTCTATAAATGTTCTAATGTGTTTTTCATATAAAAAAATTCTTGGCATTTCTAGGGCACCTAAGAATCTCCAAGTAACTAGCAAACATCTATTAAGCCTTTGTCGGACTAGGTAAATATTATTATACTCATTCTACATTGGAACAGTTAGTAATTCAAACATTAAGAATAACTGACATCTATATACTGATTTAAGGTATGCCTAACACTTTAAATAATTATTTCTTCTGGGACTCATAATGAGTTTGTTAGGTTGGGAATTAGTATCCCCATAATACAAATGAGAGAACTGGGGCTGTTATGTTAAGTGATTTGGTTAATGTTACACAACTAAATTTCTGAAACAGAATTTGAATCCATGTGGTCCCAACTCCAAGACTGGCACTCTATCCACTGTGCCATGTCATCAATCCCAGAATATAAGACAGTGCCTCCTACTTGTCCCCCCTCTCTAACCACAGAACTATGTTTCCTCCTCCTTGTTTTGTCATAATCATACAAAAATATTAGAATGACTCCCTAGAGTCCTATTGCTAGACATGGAAGAAATGGGGCAATTTGAACTCAGTTCTTTCTGCCTCCTACTCCACTTCATTTTCAGATATTTTGAATCCTGTTACTGAGCACAAGTGGGAGCCCATAGATTCAAAATACCAATGGAACTGATATTTTGATATAGTGATATTATTGGTGAGAAGGGTATAGTATAGAGAGAAAGAAATCTGAATGCTAGATTCAACAGTGATTATTTCTTACCTCATTCTTCCTATGTAATTATATTTGTTATACTTTTGAAGAATTCCCTTACTAGCACAAACCAAGACCAAAAAAATAATTTTTCTATGGCCCTAAATATACTGAGATGATAGACACTTGAAGTCTGGGACCTGTTTTTCTATTTTATTTGAGCTTCTCTTCACAATCATTTTTCAGAGGAGACAGTCAAATCACCTGAAGACGCAAGTAAAGCAAAATCAAATCAAAAGGGAGAATTCAGCATGACTGAATTTTCAAAGCTTTGCTACCTGGTTATTTTTTAAATCCCCAACTACATAATTTATGGAGAGATTCACCTACAATACAGTTCAATGATGCAAGTAATTTCAGTATGCTTTAGCCAAATAAATCTCCCCAGTATGTTTCCTAGTTAATAATGAGCACACAAAAAAGATCGAAGTCTTCTACCAGAACAATTCATTTTAAGTTAATTACATAACTATCAAGAGTGAGGAATCTGTAGGCTCTGGCCTGTCAGCTAGCAGTACCAACAAGGTAAAAGGCAGGTCCTTGCTGTGAAAATAGATGGACACTGACAAGGCTTGTCAGCTTCAAAGATTGTGTCCCATTTTTTTCCTATCTCAACAGTGAATACTCATATAAGTCTTAATGCCACAATTGAAAGCAGAGGAAAACAGCCTTAGTCACGAGACAGAATTTGACCTCCATGATATTCGTGTATGTCATGAGTTTTTTTTTTTTTAGAGGGCAATCACCAGCTTTTATTAGGAGTAAGGAGAGCACCAACTTTTGGGTACTACCTATCATCCAATTCTCACTTATGGCTTCAAGAAGAAGATGCAATGGCCTCACTCTGGTAACACCACCTTGGCAGATGGGCTAAATCAGATTGAGAGTGACTGACAGGCCTCAAACCTGTCCGTGAGTAGGTGTATGTCTATACCAAGCATGTGAAGACTTCCCCCAGCCAAAGGAGCAAATGAGAACAATTTGTTTCAATGGCCATGAAAGGAGCTGAAGAAAGCAGAACTTGTTCAGGCATCAATTACTGCATCCTGGGCCATCTCCAGTTGTCTTGACTTTTGTCTTACCACTGGATGTTGATGACTCAGGAAGAGAGAATGAGGCTGACAACTTTAAGCAGCTCTGCCTTCCTTAAATCCAATTCATATCCAAGTCAAGACATCACTCATCATCCACTATTTTACCCCAACATAATGATGTCATTGGTCCTCATTGAAAACAAAGGATGAACAACAGCCAAAGTTCTGAAGTTCGAGGTACTCTGTAGGTCCTAGCTTTCGAAACTATAGCGCATGTGTCCCTTCTAGTTTGTTTTCAACCTTTAGTAGTCAGCCATTAGATGCAACAAGATCAAAGAAAACATATTTACTGAGATGACATGTATGTTCAATTGTAATAGAACACCCTCCCTAAAAAACCTGGGACGCAGTCTTGTATATCTATACACAGCAATAGTGGGAAGAATAGACATACAAACAGAAAAATAAACATTTAGTAAATATAGATGGCTTAAGTAACACCACTCAGAGTGAAGGCCTGGGTAAAGTGTTTGAAAAAGGATTGGGCACTTTGCTTTGGGGCATGAGCAGGAAAAGTATGCCAAAATGAGATCTGAGGATGCTAAAGTCAAACCACTGCCACCCCACTTTCATAATTTGTCCAGGGATGGCCTTGTTGGGCATAAAGCCTACCCTGGTGCCAGCCTTAAAGAGAGTGGTTTTGTCTTTTGCAGATAGAGGTTCGATGACTGGATCAGATACTCATTAAGCAGTTGATGGAACTCCATGCTGGCATCCAAGACTTGAAGCAAGAATACAATGATTTGACAGACATAGGAGTCAACTACCACCAAATGGACAACCCCAAAGATGTGTATTTTGATGTATTGATGTTAGCAGAACCTTTCCTTCTGCATAAAATTCTTTTAAAGAAGACATCTTGCAGAAGAAGTTCCATGCCATGATCCAGTAATAGAAGTTGACCTTCTAACTGTCAACATTAACCAGCATTTCTAACTTAGAATATTTCCTTCTCTATACCATGTGTCAGGGGAATGTTTATGTGAATCCTTTAATTTGTGGATACATTCTGTTAAATGAAGTTGAACTGTGGTAGACCTGATAGATGAGACCATTTTGCTAATGTTTTTCTTCCTTATTTGCTCATCTGTTTGATTTTTAAGAAGCCAATTGTAGTTTCCAAATCAAATGGCAAAAGAAAGCTTTGGGCTTCTAATAGAATTAGGCTATGTCATTTTGGTAATTGAAAATCAAATGCAAGCATATTGAGAATTTTGGCTAGAAATTAAGGATATTACCTTGTAAGAAATAAATGTGTGCACAACTTCCTGTAAAGATACGTCTTTCAGTTTTTAAAATTTCCAATACTTCTGTCTTTACAGGTCCACACTTCCTAATGTTCATAGACATGCATTCAGAGTATGCCCAAAATACATAGCACAGACTCATCCTGAAAAATAAACAAGTTTTCAAAACTGGTGTTTTGTTTTACATTTTTAAGTTTGCATTTTGAAAATGAAGTTTAGTTGCTATTTTTTTAAATTAAATTAGTTATATTTTTATTTCTTTAGTCTGACATTAGAATGTAAGCTTGTTGAGAGTAGATCGTTTCATTCTTTGAATTTGTATCCAGTGCATGGCACATAAATCCTTGATAAATGCTTATTGATCTATTGATGAATAAAAATAATAGCCTTCTACTGGGGATTAAATAGATGTTAAACTTTAAAAAAAAATTCCCTGGGGGCAGCTAGGTGGCTGCAGTGAGTAGAGCACTGACCCTGGAGTCAAGAGTACCCAAGTTCAAATCCGGCCCGAGACATTTAACAGTTACTAGCTGTGTGACCCCGGGCAAGTCACTTACCCCCAATTGCTTCACCCCCCCAAAAAGAAAAGAAGAAGAAGAGGAAGAAAGAGAATAATAATAAAAGCTCACATAAAAAAATTGGGAAAGAATTTTTACAACCAGTCTCTCTGATAATGGCCTCATTTCTAAATTATATACAGAATTAACTCAAATTTATAAGAATACAAGTCATTCCCCAATTGATAAGCGGTCAAAGGATATGAACAGGCAGTTCTCAGATGAAGAAATTAAAGCCATCGATAATCATATGAAAAAATGCTCTAAATCACTATTGATTAGAGAAATGCAAATCAAAATAACTCTGAGGTACCACATCACACCTATCAGATTGGCCAGCATGACAAACAGGAAAATGATAAATGTTGGAGAAGATGTGGGAAAATTGGAACACTAATGCATTGTTGGTGGAGCTGCAAAATGATCCAACCATTTTGGAGAGCAATTTGGAACTATGCCCAAAGGGCTATAAAAATGTACCTACCCTTTGACCCAGCAATAGTACTTCTAGGGCTATACCCCAGAGGGATTATACAAATGGGAAAAAGACTTACATGTACAAAAATATTTATAGCAGCTCTTTTTGTGGTGGCAAAGAACAGGAAATTGAGAGGATGCCTATCAATTGGGGAATGGCTGAGCAAGTTGTAGT